GGGGCAGGAGTGGGACGGGCCGGGGAGGGCGAGGCTGGTGGAAATACCAGGGACGGTGGGCCGAGGGCGGCCGGGAGATGGGTCGGGGCGGAGGCCGAGGTCGAGTGGGAGGAGGTGGGGTGGCCGGCTGAATCATGTGCAGGGCGTTAGGACCGATCTTGGACGCGATCCAGTCCAGATAGTCCCAGGTGGCCGTGTAGATTCCAGGGCGCTTAGCGCGGGCACAGCCTACCCCCCAGCTCGTGATCCCCACGATAACAAAGGGGCTTTGGTCGTTGTCTCTGCACATGAGAGGCCCGCCGCTGTCCCCCTGCCCAAAGGACACAGAGGTCACTCTCCGCCCGAGCCACTCTCCTTGCCCAGGGGGTCGTGGGATTCTGGGAGGGCAGTTTCTGCAGCCACACGGTTTCCTGCTGCCAGAAACCTAGATGGGTGTGCTCAAATCTGAGATGGTGCAACAGCCTCAGCTAGGATGGACAACAGCATGGACCGAAATGGGTTTCCTGCAGTGAGACGAGTGAAGTGTGTGCACGCGTGGAGATCTGCCTGCATCCACCAGCACGTGTGGGTTTGAATGCTTTGAGCTCTGGGAAAGAGGGGAGCATGGTCTTCAGGCACGAGGTTTGGGTGATATGTTCTGATGGCTGAGGTTGGGGTCAAGTACTGAAAGGGGTGAGGAGTTCTCTGTAGGAGTAGCTGGTGGGTGTCACCTCTCATCTTCACTGTGACTGTCAGTGCTGGGAGAGGGACCAGGGAAAGATTCACTAGAGAAGGGCACTAGGCAGGGAGTAGAGGCAGTGGATCAGGGACCCAAAAAGAGGTGTTCTCAGTCCTGAGGAGCCCTGGAGGGACCCAGGAGTCTGGCACCAGGAAGAGGGTTACCTGGCAGGTGTCGATCTTGCCTTCGGGATACCCTGCGCACACGTTGCTGGACGTGACACGCCCATTGTACCACTGGGTCGAGTTACACAGGTCGAGGTCAATGAGGTCCACACGAGCCTCCATCAGCACAGGCGACGGCCTGGGGGCTGCAGCCAGGCCTGCAGTGGTCAGTGATCAAGGCAGATCTGGAGGAAAGCCCTGCCTCCTCCTCCACTGAACCCCCATCCTTTATGATGCTCTAGTCACACCTAGATCCATCAGCCAGCGCCCCACCTTCCCTCATACTCTCCTGTATATTAATAGTAGATGAGGGGTTAAGGAGGTTAGTGGAATCTGCCCAGCACTCACGAGTCACATCCTGTTATTCCCATTATTAATCCTGTTATTCCCTGGGGCTAGAGTGCCACCTTCCTACTGTGGGAAAGGGCAGCTGTAATCTGCCCAGGATCACCCTTCTCCAGACCCAAGTCTAGAACACACCGTCTGGCTAGGAATCAGCCTCCCTGCTTCTTATTCCTCACCAGGACTTCTCCTTCCAGCAGTGGAGCTGGGCTAATTAGTCCCTCCCCACATGCCTCAGATCTGTTTTGAGGAGACTGTAGGAAGAAGAGAGCTGAATCTGGGTCTCCTTCACAGCTCCGACCCTATCATGACATGGGGGTTAGGAAAGGCCTGTCTGTGCAAGCTCATGCAAGCAGCAAGCATGGGGTCAGACGTAGCCCCACCTCCAGTGCCTCCGTGCCCCCATCCGGTGCACACAGCAAGACCCCTTCCATGGCAGCACCACAGCCTTGTGGGCAGATCCAGAAGGTCCGCAGCACAGGCAGGGAGCAGCCTCGGGAACACAACCATGCAGGCCCAGAGGGTAAGGGAGATGCTTGAGGCATGTACACAGGGATGCACACTCAGCCAGCATCTTGTAGATGACTGCTGATGTGTGTTTGCCAGGTGGGATTTGGTTCTTCAATCCCTTCAGCTACCACCGGTCCTCCTATTCAAGCAGCAGCAAGGGATTAATGTGTGCCCTGCCCTGGGAGTGGTGGCCACACTGAGATGGCAGGTTGTTAGCAGTCGAGATGACTTTTTAGATCTCTGCAGAACCATAGTCCTGATGTTGAGAGCCACAGCCAAAGGGGCCCCAACACCCAGTGTCCTAAAACAGAAGAAAGTTTCCTCAATCCCAGCCCCTTGGCTTAAGTAACAAAGGCCAGAAGCCCACAGGAACTCAAAATTCAAGGGAAAGAAGCAACACTCTGGGGTACTCTTTCAGCCCCAAAGAGTTCAAGGATTAGCCAGAACTAATTTCCGGAAGTTTCCGGTGAGTCACAGGAGAGATTGGAGCCTGAGTGTTTCTTTAAGACTTAAATTTAGGGGATGTTTGAAAAAAAAAAAAAGGAACAAGAGATGCCCCATTAATTTCTGGGGGATTCCAGGACAAAAAGGCCTTGCTTTGACCTCCAAGTTGTGTCTGGGAGCCTACAATTGGATAGCAGATGTGGGGTTGGAGTGAGGACCCCAAGAACAGCCTTCCAGGGACTAGAAAACCCTTCAAGCCATGGACAGGCCAAAGGGTAGAAAGGAGTGTGATCTAGAATAATGCAGGTCCTCACTCTGGACACCATGGCAAAACCTTTAGCATCAGCAGCAGAGACAGGGGTGGGCACACTAGGTCAGAAAGTGATGGTCTCATGTCAGCAATGGCCAGTGAAAATGAGATTAGAGGGACAGGACTGGTAACAAACCCATCAGGAACCAGATCAACCGCTGGAACAAGGGAATAAGAGTAAAAGAAAGAATCTCAAACAAGTTTTAAGCCCCAAGTGACTGAACTGCTTCAATTAAGAAGCATAAATTTTCTATTATCAAAGAAGAGACTGAGAGCAAGCTTTCTGTGTCACCACCCTAGTGTCAGTGGACGAAATTCTATGTGGCTGCTTATGGAAAACTGGAGTGTGGGTCATGCTCAGAGATCAAGTTCCACTTGGTTGTCCTCTGTCAGAATCTTGCTGTCTACAATTACCCCTGGGACAAAGAGTACCCCTAGGCTTCAAGTTCATGGGGAGATGTTGGGCTCCGCATAACCATGGAGTCAGCAATGGCAGTTGCTTTAGATTCCCTCCCTGGACCCTCTGCGGCTGAGCCCATCTGCGGTGGAAAAAAGATTCCTGTACTCACTCACCACTCAACTGGTGCCAAGTGGGTCGGGCAGTGTTGGGTAGGGGAGGTATTTGGGCCAGAGAAGAGGGATAGCTTGCCAAGGCAGAGAAGTCTAGAGAGGCAGCTACCATCATCGTGAACAGCAAGGGGCCCGTTGGATGGCTCCAAGGTGCCCAAAATGCCGGAACACCCATGACCTGCAGAAAGCCCACCCACTGCGTGCCTGCCTCTAAGGGGACAGAGACAATGTCAAGCACATCAAACGACAAGGGTGGAAGTTTGTGCCAGGACTATCCAAGGACAGAGCCAGGAGCCTGCTGCTGCTGGTGGATAAGAGTGACCCTGTCATAGCAGAGGTTGGAGTTGTTCTGCTTGGAGGCCATCATCACACAGAAGCAAAACTAGCCCATGGCCACAAAAGCACACCTAGAATTCTTCTCTAAATGCTGTTTCAGTGTACATTCCTCATTTCCAGAATCTAGCAGGTGGGGCTCCAGGTGCCAGGCAGAGACAGGAAAAAGGCCAGGGTTCTACTTGTGCATGCCATTCGGCCTTCCACTAGGCAACCAGTCCTGTGACCTTGGACAGGGGCTCGGTTTCCCTCGGACCCCAGCTTCTTCAGCTGTCAAGGGCACCGTGACAGCCGCTGCCCATGGTACCACCATGAGAACTGAAAGTTGCTCAACTGGGCATCAGTGTATGATCCCTGCCTCTCCAAGCCCACCAAGAGAAAGACCAGCATGCCCTCCTCAGAGCCCTTCCCACACTCACCCTTCTCCTTTATGTATCCCCAGCCAGCCACATAGCAGGTCTGGGGGACTTTGGGAGGGCCTGCCTTAAAATTGGGCAGGCAGCCTACCCCAATGAAAGGCCCACATGGAACAGGAGGGGTGACCTTCAAGAGAGCAATGTCGTTCCCCTCGGTCACAATGTTGTATTTTTCGTGGATGATGATTCTCTCCACATATCTCTCCTGCAGAGGATCATTCACTGGCATGTTTGTCCCATATTCAATTTCCTGTGCTCCAAAAATCAGTCTCCAGTCATAGACTCTTCTGTGGGTACAAAGGTACAACAATCGTTCTCACAGATGGGTTGACAGAATCCCCTGGGGAGTAACCCTGAGAGCCTTCCCCCAACCAGAGTCCAGTAGCCACTTTGCCGGGGACCCCAGGGAGACCCCCGCACAGAGCCCCTGGGGAAGTTCCCTTTCCAAAGAGCATTCTGGAGCCCTCCCTCTGGGTGTTCCCACACGTACTTCTTGTTGTCAAAGCAGTGAGCAGCTGTAAGCACCCAGTGGGAATTCAGCAGGCATCCTCCACACGAGTGGTACCTGCGGTTGTTGTGGGGCTGGTAGACCTGAAGGCTGACCATCCAGGGCCAGGCCCCATTCTGCACCACATGCCCTCCGATCACTCTCGAGCTCCCTTGAGGGTTCTGCCTGAACCGCAACCCACAGGGGCCACTGAAGAGAGACGGAGACACAATTCAAACGCATTGGCACAGCCCGTCCCTGCACGGCCGGGGAGAGGCAGGGATATGGGGCTGGGAAAGGTGGGAAAGAGCTGTGGGGTTCCAAGAAAAGGGAAACCTGGGGCACACAAGAAGCCATCAGCTCCAGGAAGTGGTTTGGGGTTATTTTGGGGTCTTAGGTTTCACAAAATAAGGAAAGAGGGGCCATAGGTAGGGCTGTGCAGGCCCTAGAAGTATGGGAGATCCCTGGGCAGAGCAGGAGGCTAGAGGTGGAATGAGGGGTCTGGAGGTAGAAGAGGATAATGGACTGGGGTCTTTAGAGACAATCTCAGGTAGGAGAGTCAGGTGATTTAGAGAATCTTGGGGCTGTAGTGTCAGGGTTAGATAGTAGCAGGAGGAGAATCCCTGCAAGCAGATACAGTGACAACAGGCCTAGGGGGAGGCACATGAGGAGCAGTGAGACCCAGAACTGTCCCAGGTGGGAAGCCAGTAGCAGTTTGGGAGTTGTTGGCATTGTGGGGCACTTTAGGGAGTCTCTAGGTAGATGGAAGTGCTAGAGGCACATGGAGTCAGGCTCATGGGGGACATCTCAGTGGTTCACGGAGGACAGGGCATCCTGAAAGTCGGGGCTTGATGTCTGAGTGGCCCTGGGGTCAATCACCAGGGGAATTGGGAGCATGGATTTAGGAGCTGAGAGCTCTTTCCTAGGGGAAAGGAGACAACTCGGGACCCAGGGTCCCTGCACTGATGGTTCTGGGAGCAAGGAGGGTCTGAGCTGGGTATGTGAGACCCAGGCCCTGCTAAGGCCCCAGTTTGGCCCCCTCCCTTTCCCTGGACAGAGGAAGTCTGAGCAGGACCTGTTGAGCTTCCCTGACCAAGGACCCCTGACACTTACTCACACGTGGAGTTATCTTTGGCAACCACAGACACTGCCAAGACCAGCAGAATGGCAGTTGGCAGCATCTCCACCATACTCCTGCCCCAGCCTGGCATGCAGGCCATGACCTCACAAAGCTCCGTGGCCTCCTGGCCAATCAGCAGGGTAGTCTCCCCCCAACCCCAGCAGGAAGCCAGGCAGGCCTCTTGGCTTAACTGATCCATGCCGAAGTGACTCCCCAACTTCCTGACAGGGTACCACTCCCCGGGTAATTGGGGACTGTACACCACCTGGTTCCCTCCACCCCCAAGGCCAAGATCTTCATTGCCAATTACTCTTCCAAGGTCCCACTGTGTGAGAGTTAAGGGTGTGTCTCTTTTCCAGCTGTAACCAGTGCAGACTCAAGCACTGAGGAGCAGTTTGGCCCTGCTGCAACAAGATGGTGCAAAATGTCCGTGGTTAAAAGGAGTCAGGTTCAGAAGATCTGTGGATCCTTATCACTTGGTAGGGAAAACTGCCTTTTCCTTCTCCAAGGACATGCCATCAGTATACTTTTCAAAGAGCCATTTTGAATTTCCCAAGTTTATGACTACAAAGTCTACTTTCCTGTTCGCTGCCAAGTATCACCAGGTCCCCTCCCTGGACATCGAGACCTTCTCTCTGGGAACTAAGTGCGACAAGTGGAGCAAAGTATTATCTTCCACGGTTCCATGTCAGTTCTCACCACAGCGACCTGTGGATCAAACATCACTTTTTCTGATTGTCAGGAGACAGCATCTTGACTATCAGGAAGTGACAAATGTTTATTACCTGTTCCTGGATGTTCAAATGTTTCCCGCCCCTGAAAGAGTGTCCGGAGCTCTGATGTGCTGTACCTGCATGGAGAGCACACCTACCTGCTCCACCTCAGGGGAAGTCTTGCCAGCTTATCCGAGGGCAAAGACATTGTTCCTCTGCTAGGAGTGTGACCAGAGCCCCTCTTGTCTACCTATTGGGACATCTCCTTTTCTCTTCCTGAGTGCAGACTTTGGGGATTATGGATGATCTTCATTTCTCTCCCTATTTTCTCTACCCAAAGGACAGAGTTTCTCATCTCTAAACCTTGCAGGAGGTCACATGCCCCTCAACTGAATGTCCAGCGGATCTCAAATATCAAGGAGTTCTCACCTCGCCCCACAGGTGAGGACATCTCTTTCCTCCACCTCAGGTCCAGAGTCTTAAGTCTCCTCCACCAAGAAGTAAGTCTCGTCTCCACCACCCAGTTTCATCTTGTTGCATCTTCTCTACTGAGAGTAAGAGGTCTTACATCCTCTGCCCAAACGTCTGGGTGAGTGTCCTGAAGTCTCAAGTGTCGTAATGAAGTGTCAGGAGCTCTCATTCCATGACCCAACCTCCACGAAGTTTCCTGTCCTCCACTTGAGAACAGTCTCCTCTTCCCACCTGAAGGTCACAGCTTTGACCTCCTTGACCAGAGCATCTCAAGTTCTCCTTTCCAGATTTCTCACGCCAGCTCTGGCCCGTCTGTCTAAAGGCCTCACCTCCCCTAGGTGACAGGGATGAAATCCTCCGTCTCCTATTTGAGGAGGTTCATCCAGGGTGTCTGAGTGCCCCCGGGGCCAAGCAGGGAGGATTCTGAGTTCCTGAGGACTCCCTGGCCCGGAGAAAGTGTCTTCCCTCAGGTGTCGGGGCTTTGGCCTGAAGCCCGGCCTCCACAGCACCTCCAGCAGGTTTCTGGGGTCTAGTCCTGGAAGACCCTGACCTGCCTTCTGAGGCTTTTGACCTGGGGGAATATTCATCTTCTCCAAATCCTTGGGGAACCAGAGTGGGCAAAGTTGTTTCTATGAAAGACAAGCCCCCTACCCTTGCTCAGAAGGAAACCAGTCTCCCTGGTCCCTTCTCTCTCTGCCGCAGGCAGGCCTTCCCAGGGCCTCTCTCCTTGACTTCCTGGGTCTTCCCTTCTGTATGATGACCAGAGTTTCTAGCCTAAAAATGAGACAAAAAAAATTGAAAATGTTGAACATTTGTAATTGTGGGGCTTTGTAAACAAACTGCAAGTCACCAATCCCAGCCTGAAGAGGGACTTGGCCAACACTTCAGAGCCCCCAGAACTTCACCTGCCCCCAAGCAGCCTGCAGGGCACCTGCTTCCCCGGAAGGCTCCCTCTGCCCTCCAGCTTTGGTCCCCTTCCCAGGATCTTTCTGCCTGGCTGGCTCCCCCCCAAGCCTACCACCCCCCCCACCTGAGTCAGGTGTCAGTCTGTCATTTTCATGCCAGCAGAGGGGCAGAATCCAGAGCCCAGAAAGCCCTGCCCTCAGGCATGGCACAGCTCTGAGCCCTGGCTCCCGAGGTCTCTACCCTCCTGCTCAGCGGACTGTCAACCCACCCGACTCTCGGTCCCCGTTCTCTCCCACCCAGGTGCCCCTCCCCCACACCGTGAGCTGCCCCCCCACAGATGCCACCGAGGCGTCTCCCAGGACACATTGTTGGCCAGTGGCAGCTGGCTGTGCACAGGAGGCCCGTGCCCTTGAAGGTCATGTCTGGCTCAAATAGCCTGAAGAGAAAACCTCACATTCCTGAGGTGCTGCTCCCCAGAGGGATGATCCAAGGTGGGAAGCACCAGCTTCCTCTAACCTGAGGTTAGAGGGCTGTGAGGGTCAGGGAAGGAAGGCTTCCTGGAAGAAGGGGCCTGGAGTTCAACCCAAGCAGAGGGGGAACCGGCCACGATGCGACCCCGAGCCACCAGACGGGCTCCAGGACTTGAGGAGTGGAGTGAGGCCAGCGGAGGGAGGGGCAGGCCACCTCCGAGGCCAGAGGGTGTGCGGAGACACGCCTTCCTCCACAAAGACCGTCGGGTGTTAGTGAGCAGAGGGCAGGAACGGAGCCCAGGGAAAGAAGTGGGCCAACTGTGCGCAGCAGGCATGGACAGGACAGGGAGGACTGGAGATTTTATAAACAGCTGGGCACTGGAGAGCGGTTTTAAGCCCTAGATTTAAGATCATGACAGAGGGACTGGGCTGTAGCTCGGTGGCAGAGCATGAGGTTAAAAGCCTGGGTTTGAGCCACAGAACCAAAAAATGAAAAAGTGGCAGAGATCATGGAGGACCACCAGCCTGGAGCTCAGGAGCCACCCCTCAGTGAGCTGCTGAGCAGAGAGAAGGACCAGTGTGGGAAGCCTGCATGGGAGGCCAGCAGTCCAGGGAGAAGGCAGGAGCTGAGCAGGGAGGCCAGCAGAGCCTGGGTCAGAGACACATCTCTGAGTCACCAACACATGGGTCAGGGCTATGGGGCTGGGTGACCAGTCTCAGAGTCAGAGACAGAGTCTGCTTCCCAACATCCCTTCAAACAGGCAAGTGGAACATGGCTTCATTTCTTATAAATTTATTACATAATAATATTATAATAATTATTATCAATAATAATAATAATATAAGAAACATAGATCTCTGTGGGGTGTATCACAACGTCAGGGTCAGGAGGCCTCAGGACTGGAGCAGGGGTGAAAGCCCCTGGATGGAACTCCATACAAAAGGAGGGGTGAAGCAGAACTGACCCTGTAAAGTTAAAAACCCAAATTGAACGGAACAGAAAACCCACAGGTGAGTGTGAGACTGAGTGTGTATGTGGCAGTCTGTTACAGTGACCGCTGCTGTGTGTGACCTGGTCTGTTGGTGAGAGGGTTAGTGGGTGTGACTCTGAGCCCAGGGAATGGGGCCGGTGGGCCAGGGAGGGGCAGGCACAGACCGGCGTGCCAGGCCCCTGGGCTGTGAAAACTTCTGTTTTCTTTTTTCTTTTTTTTTTTATTAAAAAAAGCTAGAAATATAAACAGAAACTTGTGAGTGACGTGGATGGAGCTTAGTCCAGACTCCAAACCCTAGGTTTAAAAACGCCCCAGGCCCCCCACCCCACAGGCCATTGCTGAGTGTGAGGAGTCACAGTAGGGGGGCTGGGGCTCCCTCCAGGGTCTCTGACTCTCCCCAGGGCCTGTGGTGGCATGGCTCTAGGGGACCCCACGATCCCCTCAGAAGCCCAAAGAGGGGCACTGCCTCCAGGGGGCCCTTGGGCCTCCCCAAGCAGCAGGAATTCAGCAAAGAATCCGCTCAGGCTTGGGGAGGCTCTGGAAGGACAGGCTGGGCAAACAGCAGGGCCCAGGGCAAGCTGGCCTGGCTTTCTTTGGAAGAGGAGACGGCTGCTTTCACAGGCCCCCACCCCAGTCTACAGCAGCCCCCGGGGGCCACTCCACAGGCACACACAGGGCTCCCACGTGCTCAGTGGCACCCGGGTTTCACACGCACACAGGTGTGCACACACACAGGGTAAGAACAGGAGACTTTGGGGTCCAAGGCAGGGAGGCTTCTCTGCTGTAGTTGCCCAAGAACATGGAGAGGATGCTGGACCCCTTCTTGGGGAGAGACCCTGTGAGGAAGATGGCTAGGGGTAGAGTGCTAGGGCCCAGCCCCAGCCCCAGGGCAATGGTCTCCCAGGCCACAGGGCCCTGCTGGTGTCCAGCAGGACCCGATGCCTGCCGCCCCT